AAAAAGATTTATTTAATGAATTAAATTTGTTATTGGGACCAGTAGTTGGCGTAATGACTGTGTTGCTGGACTCCCATGTAGTGGACTGTGGTTCGAGTCCTGGACCCGGTGGCTTAAACTCACGCCAGGCGTGTGTGCATGCTTGCCCAAGATCCCGAGAGGAGAATGGAGGAGAAGAAATTGCGGCGTAGCCACCCCCCGAGGGGTGATTTCTCGTTTTCTGTCTCTCTATTTCTCTCTTTCTGGCAAGTGCACGCACCCTATAGCAAAAACCTCTCCAAAATAAATAAATAAATAAATTTGTTATTATTATTATTTTGACCAGAGACAGAGAGAGAGGGGAAAGTGAGAAAGCAAGCTGTAGGTCTGGGACTCGAACCACAGTTGGCCATGTGAGAATCCAGCACCTTTAACCACCATACCACCTTATGGTTGGAAATGATTACCTATTACCGTTGTTTATCACTTTCTGGAAGAGTCTGGTGAAGTTGGACACTAGTCTCCAGTGTAGCACAAGCCACAGACCTCTTCTTACATCTCCATGCCGACACCCCTCTGTACACCCTGTGCCCTCTCTTGACATTTTAGACTCCTGGCCGATTAATACATAGACTAGATGTACTGTATTGTCAGGGCAGATGCTTTCTGGCCCCTCACCACAGCCCAGAGTTTCTTCTATGTCTGCTGACCTCTGGTGGTGATAATTTGAACTATAGCTTCCCTTTTTAATAAGTGACCTGCTGGTAGGCAATAGCTGTTATTTTCTTTTTCTTTTTATTTAGGTTTTTGCTATAGGATATGCACGCTCACTGAAGAAAGAGACAGACAGGGAAAGGGAAAGTAAGAAATCATCCCCCAAAGGGGATGATCATATTGCAATCCCTTCTATATTCTCCCCTCAGAATTTTGGAGATGCATGCACACACGCCCGGCATGAGTTTAAAGCCCCTGGGTCCAGGATTCAACTGTGGTCGACTATGTGAGAGTCCAGCACCTTAGTCACCACGCCATCTGCTGGCCCCTAGTGCTTCTTTTCTTTTCTTTTTTTCTTTCTTTCTTTCTTTCTTTCTTTCTTTCTTTCTTTCTTTCTTTCTTTCTTTCAGAGATTTTTGTTATAGGGCACATGCACTCACCAGAGAGACAGAAAGCAAGAAATCACCTGAGGAGATGGCCACACCACAGACCCTTCTTCTCTTGGAATCTTGGTCAAAAACACACATGTGGCCAGCGTGAGTTTTAAGTTACCATATCCAGAACTCGAACTGCAGTTAACTACATGGGAGTCCAATAATGTAACCATTATTCCATCTGCTGGTCCCTCTTTTTTTTTTTTTAAGAACTATTTATTTATTTAATTTTACATATTATTATGTATTTGTTGGTTGCTTATTCTGTGAGATTTTTGTTATAGGGAGAGTGTGTTCGCCAGAGAGACACAGAGAGACAGAAAGCAAGAAATTACCCACCCAGGGGTTATTGCCACACTGTAGTCCCATCTCCTCCATTTTCCTTTCAGGATCTTGGGCATGCACGCAGACATGCCTAGCATGAGTTTGCTTTTTCTTTCTTTTAAGAATTATTTTATTTAGGGACCAGCAGTTAGCATAATGGCTATGTCGTTGGACTCCCAAGTAGCTGACTACAGTTCGAGTCCCGGACCAAGTGGCTTAAACTCACTCCAGGCACGTTGGCATGCGTGCCCGAGATCCCGAGAGGAGAATGGAGGAGAAGGGATTGTGACGTGGCCATCCCCCCTGGGGGTGATTTCTTGCTTTCTGTCTCTCTCTCTGTCTCTGTCTCTCTGGTGAGTGTACGCGCCCTATAGCATAAAAAAACTCTCCAAAAAAAAAAATAGTTATCTCCTAAATAACTGTAACTTGCTCAGTGTGAATTAATGTGTTTTTTTTTTTTCATTGCCAGAGAGAAAGAGAGAGAGAGAAAGCACTCCCAGTGGGGTATGGTCATACAATAATCCCTTTTCCTCCATTTAACCATTCTGTTGGAATTTAAATAAATGTGCACAAATAGCTAGCATATTTTTTAAGCCACTAGGGATGGGATTCAACCTCCAATCAGCAATGTGGGTTCCAGCTCCTTTAACTACTAGTCTATAGGGCCAGACCTGATTTTTCTTTTAAAGAATTATTTATTTAATTCCATTTGTTGTTATTATTTTTCCATTTGACCAGACAGAGACAGAAAGAGAAAAAGGGAAAGTGAGAAAGCAAGCTGCCAGGTCCAGAACTCAAACTGTGGTCGGCCATGTGGGAATCTAGTACCCTTAACCACCATGCCACCTGCTGGCCCTCTGATTTTAAAAATCATAGTAAAATGCACACAACAAAATTTACCATTATAACCACATTTTCAATGTGATTTTTAAAAAAGAATTATTTCCAGGGCCAGCAGGTGGCATGGTGGTTAAGGATGCTGGACTTCCACATGGCCGTTAGCAGTTCGAGTCCCAGACCTGGCAGCTTCCTTTCCCACTTTCCCTATTTTTCTCTCTCTCACTCTGTCCCTTTCTGGTCAAATTAAAATGAATAAACAAGTAAATAAAGTTAAACAAAATAATTCTTTTTTTAATTATTTCCTTTATTTTATTTATCATTATTGTTATTTTTAATTTGACCATAGCAAGACAGAGAGAGAGAGAGAGAGAGAGAGAGCAAGCAAGAAAACAAGCCCCCAGGTCCAGGACTCAAACTGTGGTCAGCCATGTCTGAGTCTAGTGACTTTTTTTTTTTTTTTTAAATAAGTATTTATTTTTCAGGACCAGCAGTTAGCATAATGGCTATGTCGCTGGACTCCCACATACTCGACTGCGGTTCATGTCCCGGACCCCGTGGCTTAAACCTCACGCCGGGTGCGTGTGCGTGCATGCTCAAGATCCCGAGAGGAGAATGGAGGAGAAGGGATTGCGGTGTGGCCATCCCCCCTGGGGGCTGATTTCTCGCTTTCTGTCTCTCTGTCTCTCTCTGTCTGGCGAGCACACATAACCTATAGCAAAAACCTCTTAAAAAATAGGTATTTATTTTTAATTTTATTTATTCCTTTTTTTTGAGAGAGAGATTTTTGCTATAGGGCACGTGTGCTTGCCAGACAGACAGAGACAGAGAGACAGAAAGCCAGAAATTACCCCTTGAGGGGATGGGTATGCCGCAATCCCTTCTCCTCCATTCTCTTCTCGGGATCTTGAGCATGCACGCATACACGCCCAGCGTGAGTTTAAACCACCGGGTCCGGACTCGAACCGCGGTCGACTATGTGGGAGTCCAGCGACATAGCCATTACGCTAACTGCTGGTCCCCATTCATTTATTTTAATTTGACCTGAGAGAGAGAGAATGCACGAAAGCAAGCCACCAGGTCCAGGACTCGAACCTGGTCAGCCATGTGGGAGTGTCCAGCGCCTTAACCACCATACCACCTGCTGGTCCCAGGGAGTCCAACGCCCTTAAACACCACACCACCTGCCAGCCCCAAATATGATTTTTATTTTAAACTCTGAGAAGTTTTATACTTGATCTTAGCTAAAAAGCTGAGAAGTGGGGACCAGCAGATGACATAGCGGTTACCTCACTGGACTTCTACGTGGCCAACCACGGTTTGAGTCCTGGACCTGGTGGCTTGAAACTCACACTGGGTGTGTGTGTGCCCAAGATCCTGGGAGGAGAATGGAGGAGAAGGGATTGTGGCATGGCCATCCCCCCTTGGAGGTGACTTTTTTGTTTCCTATTTCTCTCTGTCTTTATGGCGAGTTCCTGCACACTATAGCAAAAATCTCTATATATAAAACAAAAGCTGACGGAGACCAGCAGTTAGCGTAATGGCTATGTTGCTGGACTCCCATGTAGTTGACTGTGGTTCGCATCCCAGACCCGGTGGCTTAAACTCACGCTGGGTATGTGTGCATGCGTGCCCAAGATCCCAAGAGGTGAATGGAGGAGAAAGGATTGCTGTGTGGCCATCCCCCCAGGGGGTGATTTCTCACTTTCTATCTCTCTGTCTCTCTGTCTTTCTAGCGAGCACACGCTCCCTATAGCGAAAAACCTCTCAAAAAATAAATAAATAAATAAATAAATAAATAAATAAAGCTGGGACTAGCAGATGGTGTAATGGTTATGTCACTGTTCTCCAATGTAGTCGACCATGGTTCATGTCCTGGACCCAGTGGGTTGAACTCACATCAGGCGCATGTGTGTGTGTGTGCCCAAGATCTCTGAAGGAGATAGAGGGGGAAGGGATTGCGGTGTGGTCATCACTTTCTGTCTCTCTGTCTCTCCAGCGAGTACACGTGCCCTACAGCAAAATCTCTTTTTTTTTATATTTAACTTTATTTACTTACTTATTTGTTTTAATTTAACCATAGAGGGACAGAGTGTGAAAGAGAGGGAAAGTGAGAAAGCAAGCCACTACATCCAGGACTCAAACCGTGGTCAGCCATATGGGAGTCCAGTGCCCTTAACCACCACATCATCTGCTATCCCTGCAAAATCTCTCTTACAAAAAAAGTTTTAAAAAATGCTGAGAATTGATGCACTCTGAGAAATATTAGACTCTCTGATTCTTGAGTTAAAATATTGTCAACTGTAGCATGGCTGTGAAGCCTCCCTCTGCCCAGAAAGCTGCAGATCTGACTCCTGAATATGTGCGTTAGAAGGGATCTTGAGCAGAGCCGAATGGCTCCAAGCATTTGCTCTCACTTTGGTTTCCAGCCTGAGAAGGGCCAGCAGGGTCCAGCACCTACTCCAAGGTCAGCAAAAGGCAGAGATGTGAAGCTAGGCATCACTGGGATCTCAGCTGGGCCTCCAAGGCCCACTCCTCCCACTATGCAGAGAAAAGAGGAGGTGACTGAAGAAAGGGAGATATGAGATTGGTTCTCTGCTCCTCCCTTTTCCCTTGCTTTCCTCAACCCACCCTCTCCCCCACAGCAGCCTTCTCCCCCCACAGAGACCAGGATAGGATGGAGGGGCGGAGTTGGGGACTGAGGGATTGGAAGGGCCCCGTGTCTGAAGGAAGCTCTGGCCGGACAGCTTGTGTGGCCAATGCTCTCCTCTAGCTGCCATCCTTCCTCAGGATGCTGGGGACTCTGGGGCTTTGGGCATTGCTTCCCGCAGCCGTGCAAGGTAAGTGCTACAGGAAGGGGCAGGGTCTTCCCACACACCCACTGAAGGGACATTTGAAGCAGTGGCCACTGCTTTGGAAGAGTGGTGAGTAGGCTGGATGAGCGAGGGTGAGGGCCAGAGCCACGTGTCTCCATGATGGGACTCAGGTTCCAGTCCTCTGCTGACCCTGCTTCCTCCTGTGACTTTACCGTACTGACCCTAGGACTTGAAATATGTTTTGTCTGTCCTTTTGGCTAGTGTTTTTGCCCTGTATTCATTCCCATCTTGACTCCTTCCCTGTTCCGCACCCTGGGCCCTAGCACCCCCAAACAGGCGGATCTGCGTGTTCTTTGAGGCCCCAGGAGTGCAGGGAAGCACAAGGACACTAGGAGAGCTGTTAGATGCAGGACCAGGGCCCCCCAGGATTGTCCGCTGCCTCTACAGTCGCTGCTGCTTTGGGATCTGGAACCTGACCCAAGACCGGGCGCAGGTGGAGATGCAAGGTGGATGGGAAAGTATACTGCAAGTGATAGCCAGGGTGGGAGACAGGCCGTCCTGGGGTGCAGGGGGCAGAGTGGGGGGAAGGGGAGAAGTGGGATGTGTGGAGAAAAGCCCACGTGAGATGGAAGGCTGCCTCTGACAGAGAAGGGGTTCATGCTCTCTGTTCTCAGACCCCGTTCTTTCCCCCAATGTTCTTTCTCTCCTCTCCCTCTAATCTACCTCATTAGGATGCCGGGACAGTGATGGGCCAGGCTGTGAGTCCCGCCATTGTGACCCAAGCCCCCGAGCCCAGCCCAGCCCTGCCTCCACTCTCTTCACCTGCTCCTGTGGCACTGACTTCTGCAATGCCAATTACAGCCATCTGACTTCTCTGGGGAAACCTGGGACTCCTGGCTCCCAGGGTCCCCAGGCTGCCCCAGGTAGCCACCTGGGGGGTGCTGGAGCCCAGTGGGGCAGGGGTCCAGGTCAGGATGAAAGGCAGAACCAGGGCCATTTCTCACCCTGCCTCCTCAACTTCCCTCCTCCTGGCCTTGGGAAGTTGGTTGCCCTGGAGACCGGGAGATAAGGGGGCCGTGACCAGGGTGGGGTGAGTCAAACCAGCTCTCCGAGGAGGAGAAGGGGGGAGCAGAGAACCAGCCTGGGGCAGGGCTCAGTGGCCTGCATGCTTGCCTTGATGTCCAGGTGAGCCCATGTGGATGCAGGTTCTGTTGCTGCTGGGACTGCTCCTCTTCCTCCTGCTGCTGCTGGGCAGCATCATCCTGGGTACTGCTCTGCCCCATCCCGAAAGCTCTGACCCCTCTCCAGGCATCCCCAACCCCACCATGGAACTGGGATCTCTACAGCCTGACCCCATTGCCTCTCACAAAGCCCCCTTCCCTGTCCCCATGCCTGTGTGTCCTGGCCCTCCCCCTCTCCTCTGTCCCAGCCCTGCTACAGAGAAAGGCGTATGGAGTGCGAGGTGGGCCAGAGCCAGAGCCAGAGCCAGAGCCAGAGCCTGAGCCAGGCAGAGCCTGGAGTGAGGCGCTGCCGGAGCTGCCTGAGCTGTGCTTCTCCCAGGTGCCCCAGGAGGGAGAGAGCAGGGAGGGAGGGAAGGATGGCTCCTTTGATCACCCCTGGAGGTTGTGCTGGGGAGGAAGTCTGGCCCTGCTACTAGCTCAGAGGCCCACACCCAGCACAGTACCTCCCACAGGTAATCCAGGAAGGAGGTAACACAGTCGTGTGGGCTGGGAGGCTGCAAGGTGAGCTGGTAGCCATCAAGACCTTCCCACCGAGGGCTGTGGCCCAGTTCCAAGCTGAGAGAGCACTGTATGAGCTGCCAGGCCTACGGCATGACCATATTGTCCGCTTCATCGCTGCCAGCTGGGGGGGTCCTGTTCCCTTGCCCTCCGGGCCCCTGTTGGTACTGGAACTGCACCCCAAGGTAAGGACCATGGAATGTGTATGTTACGAGCGTGTGTGTGCACGCCTATTGGGGGGGTCTGGGGTTTACATGACATGTGGTCCTATCCACACTTACTCTGCTATTTTTCTTTATTCCTGATAGAATGTGTGCTTGTGAGATTGAGAGTGGGGGAGGGAGAGAGATGAGCAGCCTCCACAGGGTCCCATTACAGCAAACTCTCCTCCTGGCTCTCCAGCCATTGGCTCCTGAGGACTCCTGCGCATGCCTGACCTGTTTCAGGCTGACGGGCAGAGTCCAGCCATGGCCATCACATAGGATCTGGCTTTTCTTGAACCGCACATCACCACTGTGCCACGGAGCTGGCCCTACCACACCTGTTCTTCTGCTTTAAATTTTCTCTTTTCTGAGATAATGAAAACAATTTTTATTGTTTTTTTGTTTTTCATTGCATACATAATTTATAGTAATACATTTTTTTAGGTTTTTGTCACCGGGTGCATGCACTCACCAGAGAGAGAGACAAAGAGACAGAGAGAGGAAAAGGGGGAAATCACTCCCTGGGTGAATGGCCATGCCACAGTCCTTTCTCCTCCATTCTCCTCTCTGGGTTCAGGGCATGTGTGCCTAGTATGATTTCAAGCCTCTAGGTCCAAGACTGAACTGCAGGTCGACCATATGGGGGTGAATCCAGTGCCTCAATCACCAAGCCACCTGCCGACCCTAAATTAATATGTTTACCCCTAAAGTATAGATTAGGATACGAAGAAATCAAAATCATGAAATCATTGCTGGGCCAGCCAGGAGGTGTGGTTAAGGTGGCTGAATCCTACCTAGCCAGCTATGCAGTTCCAGTTTGAGTCCTGGACCTGGTGGCTTAAAAAACTTGCCAGACATGTATGCATGCATGCCCAAAATCCTGAGAGAAGAATGGAGGCGAGAGATTGAAGTATGACCATTCCCCAAGAGGGTACTTTCTCTCTCTTACTCCCTGTCTCTTTTCAGCAGGTGCACATGCCCTATGGCAACTTAAAAATAATGGTAATAAGAAACTAAAATGGTTTGAATTTTTTTTTTTTTGGAGAGATTTTCACTGTAGGGCGCGTGCGCTCACCAGACAGACAGAGACATAGAGACAGAAAGCGAGAAAGCACCCCCCAGGGGGGATGGTCACACCGCAATCCCTGCTCCTCCATTCTCCTCTCGGGATCTTGGGCACGCATGCACACGCGCCCGGCATGAGTTTTAAGCCACCGGGTCCGGGACATGAACCGCGGTCAACTACGTGAGAGTCCAGCGACATAGCCATTCCGCTAACTGCTGGTTCCCAAAATGGTTTGAATTTTGTTGGGGCCAGCAAGTGGCATGGTGATTGGGGTGCTGGACTTCCACATGGCCAACTGTGGTTCGAATCCTGGACCTGGCATCTTGCTTTCTCACTTTCTCTCTCTCTGTCTGTCCCTCTCTGGTCAAATTAAAATAAGTAAGTAAATAAATAAAGTTAGATAGAATAATTATTAAACAAGAAAACCACTGCTAAATACTTCCAGGGATAGCTCTCCAAACTCATTCATGTATTTACTCAACAAATATTTATGAACTACATGTTGAGAACTGTCTTAGGTGCTGGCAAAAACACACATCCATCCTGCTCCCTGACTTTACAGATGTTATGGACTGGCAGAAGAGAGAGAAATGGATCAAGTAAGCACAAAAATGTCAAGTGTCACGTATGCTACGTGCTTATAGAGGCCACCGTACGATAAGCAATAATAAGATGACTGGTCGGCTCATAGCCTGGAGGTTAGGGTGGCTGGATCTTACATGGCCACTTGTACAGTTCCAGTCCCAGACCCAATGGCTTGATAACACTGGGTGTGTGTGCACGAGTGCCCAAAATCCTGAAATGAAGGAGAAATGGAGAAAAGGGGATTGTGACATGACCATCCCCCCATGAGGGATGCTTTCCTATGTCCCCCCTTCTGTCTCTCTCTCTGTCTCTGATGAGCATGTGTGCCCTCTGGTGAATTTTTTTTAAAAGAAAGAAAAAAAAGGATGTGACTTGAGGGGGAGAACAATGATCAATGAAAATGAAGACAAAGAAATAGGCAGAGGCCAGACCACACCAGGCATCATGGGCCTGCTGAGCAAGGCTGGTAGCTTTGGGGCCGGCTTTGGGGCTCAGCGGTAATGTTCTGCTGAAAAGATGGATTTCACTTGGCGACTGCGGTTGGGATTTCCAGCGCGGTCAGCCTGAAACATGCTGGGCGTACATGCACGTACCCAAGATCTGATGGGCTGGAGGTCTGGAAGAAGGGGGTCACGGAAGGATCAGACCCTGTGGAGGGTGGTCCTCCCTCTCTCTCATTTTCTCTCTCTCACATGCATGTGCACGTGCTCTATCATGAGCAAAGAAAAGAAATTTCTATTTTTAATTTGGGACTTCTGTGTTTTTATTACCATTTCTCATCTACTTCATGTTAGGCATCGCTCTAGGCACTTTAAACACACTTTTTAAAAAGAACTATTTATTTAATTTTATTTATTCATTCAATCGTTTTCATTTGACCATAGAAAGACAGACACACAGAGAGAAGGAACGTGAGAAAGCAAGCCACGAGGTCTGAGACTTGAACTGCCGTGGGCCATGTGGGAGTGTCCAGCACCTTAACTACCACACCACCTGCTGGCCCTAAACACACTTTCACACTTAACCTTCACCAATATTCTATGAGGCAGGGATTACTGTCCACTTGGGCTCACAAAAGGAAAACCATTTGCCCAGGATCGGCATGATGAGGCTGACTCCTTGTCATTGCGTCTGCTGCCTCTCCCTTGTTTACCCCTCCATCAACCCTCTCTCTGTCTCTGTCTGGTAGAAGAGCTCTCCACACTCCCACACCCACTCCTTCACCCCATTGTACTTTACCCTGTTTCAGTGTCCAAGTTCAATGGCCTCTCCCTGGACTTTATTAGTACCTATTGCTCTTCCACCCCTGAAATTTCTTTTTTTATTGAGATTTATTGGTTGTGTCAAGGATCAGTACAGACATTTCAATTTGTACCCAATTCTTAACATATGTACCAAAAATTTAAAAAGCCAAGTATAGTGATTCTTTTTAAGTTATTCCAGTGATATTTGATCTTCAAATTTGTAGGTACATTTTCCTTAAGAGGATATCAAGAACCACTGTCTTCAGATGTTGAAAGCTGTTTTGTAAGTCCCACCAAATCACAATTTAGTATCATACACACTACATACTTCAAATCTCCAATCTTTCACAGCACATTAACAAATTATTAGGAAAACTGGACTACCACGACCAAAGATGTTACAGAGTGCACACAATTCTGACAGGGAGAGCAACAATCAAAGAGTGGTTTTCTTTAGGAAACAATACTACTAAAAAACATAATAGAAGTCATTTAAAATATTCAAGACACATTAAATGCATGACTGTGACTCCAAACTGCCATTTAGTATGCTTTGTATTTAGGATATAAAACTACCCACCCGCCCCCACCTTGGAGTGTTAAGCTGACACGCAAGAGTCAAAGCCTCCTATAAGTCAATATCCCACTATTTTCTGGTTGTACTGAAAAATAAACAACCAGTAAATGATTTCACCTCTGAAAAAAAAGCATTTACACTTGAAAAATGGGATGAGATGGGATTCTCTCCTTCTTAAAAATGTTTCTAGAGCTACTAAAAAACTTGCATTTACAAAATAGTTGATAAAAATATTCCTCTGGATTGTACAAGAAGGGAGACAGAGACCATTGATAAGACATGGTATGTGACATTGCTCAGCCTTGACTTCTTTCTCGCCTGCTTCATCAGAGGGTGGACTCTCCTCATTTTTAGTTTCTCCATTTTCTGCAGGTAAATCTTTAGTGTCTCAGTTGGCCATTAAAGCCTGTTTCCCCTTTGCTCCCCTTTTCCCTTTTGTTTGGACTCTTCTGTCTGAAGATTTATCTTTCCCTGACGCCTTTTTTGGCTTTGTCTCCACTTTTGCAGGAGCAGGTTTAGCCGACAACCTCGCTGATCTCCTCTTGGGCTCTTCCTTGGCAGCCCCCTTGCTGAGCTGACCTTCCTCTTGGGTATCTTGGCTGAGGACAGGGTGCACGTTGGGTGCCTGATGAGGCCACTGCGCGCATAGAGCCTTTGAGGAGTTGAGTGGATAACCCCTACCACTCCTCCTGCCGCCGAGCTGCTGGAACTCCTGAAATATATTGCTTTTAAGAATTATTTTATTTGGGGGAACCAGCCGTTAGTGTAATAGCTATGTTGCTGGACTCCCACGTAGTCGACCACGGTTCACGTCCTGGACCCGGTGGCTTAAAACTCACGCCGGGCGCGTGTGCGTGTGTGCCCAAGATCCCGAGAGGAGAATGGAGGAGAAGGGATTGTGGCATGACTATCCCCCCTGGGGGGGTGATTTCTTGCTTTCTGTCTCTATGTCTCTCTCTTTGTCTTTCTGGCGAGCACATGTGCCCTATAGCGAAAACCTCTCCAAAAAAAGAGAATTATTTTATTTGACTTTATTTATTTATTTATTTATTTACTTACTTACTTACTTTAAATTGACCAGAGAGGGACAGAGAGAGCGAGAGAGCGAGAGAGAGAAAGAAGCAAGCTGCCAAGTCCAGGACTCAAACCATGGTTAGCCATGTGAGAGTCCTTAACCACCATGCTACCTGCCGGTCCCCACCTCTGAAATTTTAATTCCTCTTTGACCATGTAACCCTGGCCTAGTTAAAAAATAAAAAAAAATCACTGTTTTTGTTTATTTAACTTCCTCTGACTTGCCCAGGCAGGGTTAGTCATTCTTGCTTTGTGCTCGTCATTGATACCCAGTTCATCTGGTTCTGGAGTTTATTGTATTCTGTCCTTACATGTCATCATTCTCTCACGTGTCCCTGAGTCATCTTGATCTCTGCACAGTCGTTAGCATGCTGAAAGTACTCAGTAACATGTCCTGAATGAGGGACACTATTGCTCCTCTCCCTCCAATTCCCAGCTTTTCTCACTCACTACTCTCTATCTATCCGATTGGCTCTTCCCATCCATGTCTATACACACACTGACACCTCAGGCCAGATGGCCCATGAGGGATGCTGCTGATGAGCCTGCCTACCTCCTTGGACTCTGTCTCAAGTCCTCTGATCTAGAATAAGGTGGTGGTTAATAGTGACTTTAAAAAAAAAAAATAATTGGGACCAGCAGGTGGCATGGTGGTTAAGGTGCTGGACACTCCCACATGGCTGACCAGTGTTCGAGTCCTGAATCTGGTGGCTTGCTTTCTCACTTCCTCTTTATCTCATTCTCACCCTCTGTCTCTCTCTGGTCAAACTAAAAATAAATAAATAAACAAATGAATAAAATAAAATAAATAATTATTTTTTAAAAAAAGAATTATTTTATTTAACTTTATTTATTTGTTTATTTAAATTTGACCAGAGAGGGACAGAGTAGAGTGAGAGAGGGAAAGTGAGAAAGCAAGCCGTCAGGTCCAGGACTCGAACCATGGTTGGCCATGTGAGAGTCCAACACCTTTAACCACCACACACCTGCCTGCCCCTGCAGCGTGATTTTTAAGCTGCTAGATCCGAGACTCAAATGATGGTTGACCATGTGGGAGTCCAGCCACTTTAATACCATGCCACCTAGTGGCCCCGATAGTGAGTGACTCTTGAGTCAGACTGCTTGGATTCAAGCTCCACTTACCAACTGATTTCAATGAGTTTACTTAGCCTTCTCCAACGCTCCTTACTGTGAAATGGGGGTAATAAGATTGTCATGAGGATTACAGGAGGCCATGTGCTCAGTGCCTAGACCACAGCGAGTGTTCAGTACACTTGACCAAGAGTTACTATTTTTTTTATATCTTTTTATTTATTTATTTATTGGAGAGGTTTTTGCTATAGGGCGTGTGCACTCGCCAGAGAGAGAGAGAGACAGAAAGTGAGAAATCATCCCCAGGGGGATGGCCATGCCTCAATCCCTTCTCTTCCATTCTCCTCTCTGGATCTTGGGCACACACGCACACGTGCCTGGTGTGAGTTTAAGCCACCGGGTCCAGAACTTGAACTGCGGTCGACTACATGGGAGTTCAGCGACATAGCCATTACGCTAACTGCTGGTCCCAAGAGTTACTATTTTGTTCTTTTTGATTTGCTATAGAGTGTGTGAACTCACCAGAGAGAGACGAGGGGAAAAGAGAGAGAGAGAGAGAGAGAATGAGAGAGAGAGAGAATGAGAGAGAGAGAGAGAGAGAGAAAGTAGGAAAGTATCTACTAGGGGCATGGCCAATGCTGCCATCCCTTCTCCAAAATCCTCTTGGGATTTTGGGCATACATGCTCACAGGCCTGGTGTTTTTTTCTTTTCTTTTTTTTTTTTGGAGAGGTTTTCACTATAGGGTGCGTGCGCTCGCCAGACAGACAGAGAGAGACATAGAGACAGAAAGTGAGAAATCACCCCCCAGGGGGGATGGTCACGCCGCAATCCCTTCTCCTCCACTCTCCTCTCGGGATCTTGGGCACGCATGCACACGCGCCTGGCCTGAGTTCTAAGCCACCATGTCCGGGATGCAAACTGCGGTCGACTATGTGGGAGTCCAGCGACATAGCCATTACGCTAACTGCTGGTTCCCAGACCTGGTGTTTTTTTCAAGCTGCCAGTCTGGGACTCAAACTAAAACCACATAGTCTTCCGTGTGGGCCTCAAGTGCCTTAACCAGTACTCCACCTGGTCGGCCCAAGAGTTACTATTTTTCGTGTTGGTCTGACTAATGCACATCCTCACTCCTTCATTGCCCACTGTCTTAGCCTCGATCTGTCAGTATGTCTGAATGCTGGGGAGGTACAGGGGGACGTCTGTCATTGGTCTCTGCTGCCTGGGATGAATCGGCCACCTGCAGCTTTGTGCACCACCGTCTTCTCTCTGCCTTTCCCCAGGGCTCCCTCTGCCACTTCTTGACCCAGTACACCAGTGACTGGGCAAGATCCCTGCGGATGGCACTGTCCCTGGCCCAAGGTCTGGCATTTCTCCACGAGGAGCGCTGGCAGGATGGTGAGTGAGCTGGGAGCAGGAAGCCAGGGGAAGCCACGCTGCTATGTTCCTGATTCTCTCTTGGTTTGAAAGGGAAGGAGTGGGTCAGAAGAGAGGAGGGAGATGCCTGTGTCTTCAACTTTGGATTCCCCATAGGTCAGTATAAACCAGGGATCGCGCACCGAGATCTGAGCAGCCAGAATGTGCTCATTCGGGAAGATGGCTCATGTGTCATTGGAGACCTGGGCCTTGCCCTGGTGCTCCCCAGCCACACCCAGCCCCCTGCCTGGGCCCCTGCTGAGCCCCGAGGCCCAGCTGCCATCATGGAGGTGAGCACTGGGGACAGGGTGAGGCCCTGGGTGATGGCAGTGACAGAGGTGCAGCGACTGCACTGGCAGCTGTGCAGCAGTACCCATAGCACTCGCAACTCACTGGTGTATGATGGGGAAGGTGTCGCAGAGACTCGTGCTGCACGGAGGACTACCGCCGAGATGACTCCTGGTCCTCCACACCTTGCTCTCCAGGCTGGCACCCAGAGGTACATGGCCCCAGAGCTCTTGGACAAGACTCTGGACCTACAGGACTGGGGCCTGGCCCTCCGGCGAGCTGATGTTTACTCTCTGGCTCTACTCCTGTGGGAGATTCTGAGCCGCTGCCCAGACTTGAGGCCTGGTAAGGCTGGGTGAGACAGTCCCCTCCTCAGAAGCCTGCCTGCCCATTCTAGGCCCACCCACCTCCTGACCTAGTTTCCAGGAAGCGCTGACCTTCTCCCTCTTGGCCTTTCTTACATGGGAGGCACTCCCAGGCTAACTGACGTCTGGCCCTGTACCTTCCCCCAGACAGCAGACCACCACCCTTCCAACTGGCGTATGAGGCAGAACTGGGCAGCACCCCCACCACCTGTGAGCTATGGGCCTTGGCAGTGGAAGAGAGGAGGCGCCCCTACATCCCATCGGCCTGGGGCTGCTTTGCTACAGTAAGAGACCACAGGCTGGCAGTCTGGGAACCCAAAGAGGGGGTGGGTGAATGAGGGCTTCAAGGACTGCCAGAGCCAGCACATTGACTCCTCTCTCATCTAAATCCTGCTCCTTGGCTCACGTTCAGCTGGGACCGGGCACACTTGCTCTGATCCTCAGTTCTACCCCTTCCTCCCAGCGTCTCACACGGCCCACTCCATCTGCCTGCGATGATGCGCACCTTCCTCCTGCTCAACCTTGGCCAATCTGTCTCTCTCCTCTCTACCATCAGTTAGCTCTGGTCCTGGGCCCCTCCTCCAGGAAACCTTCCCTGGCTTTGGTATTACTCTGAGCTCCGACCCCAAGGTAGTGCCTCCTCTTGTACTGTGGAGCCCCAATTTGATTCAGCGACTTTCTGTCCTGTGTTTCTACTGTGCCCTGGTGAAAGCAGTTTTGGTATAGAGATGAAAGCTGTGACCACGCAGAGAAAGTTCAGGGGTCTGCACCTCCTGCTCCCTTGTCTGAAATTTTCCACCACACAAGTGTCTCTTGGGTATAACAGAAGCCAGGAATTATTCGCAAAAGATCCTGGTTGCCTGAGGAGAATGAATTCCCCTTAGCATGTTAAGCTGTAAACTGAATTAACTCCTCAGAGGAAAAGCTGGACCCCGTAGAAGGCAGCCAGAGAACCTGTCTCTTGGAGAACAAGACTCAGAGAACTGGGTATTAGTGAGACAAAGGGGAAGGAGGCTCTAGATTAGAAGTGGAATGCCGGGGGGACCAGCAGTTGGTGTAACGGCTATGTTGCTGGACTCCCATGTAGTCGATCACAGTTTGAGTCCCAGACCTGGTGGCTTAAATTCATGCCAGGCACGTGTGCGTGCCCAAGATCCCGACAGGAGAATGGAAGAGAAGGGACTGTGGTATGGCCATCCCCCTTGGGGGGTGATTTCTCACTTTCTATCTCTGTCTCTCTCTGTCTTCCTGGAGAGCATACACACCCTTTAGCAAAAACTTCTCAAAAAAAGAAAAATCCTGAGGGTCATGCAAGATCCTGGAGTCAAACCTGCCTCCTGGTCATTCCCTCAGGACCCTGGTGGACTACGGGAGCTCCTCGAGGACTCTTGGGATGCAGACCCAGAAGCACGGCTGACAGCCGAGTGTGTACACCAGCGCCTGGCTGCCCTGGCTCATCTGCAGGGGACCCCTCCTTTCCCATGGGGCTGTCCACATGGCTGCCTGTCTCTCTGCCCAGAATGTTCCTCAATTCCTGCCCTGTCATTCTCCCCCATAGGCCTCAGCTGAGTACCTGCCACTTCAGTGTTCAGCACTGAAATGCTCCAAGAATCTTCCATCTTCCTGTACCATTCTTCATGTGTAAATATGCAGTTTATGTGTAATCCATGTACATGTAAACATAAGCATGGTGACCATATACCTGCTCACTATGCCTTCCCCACTTGCCAAATCCTTGATTGTTCTGAGGGCATCCAGCCCATGGTCATTCTGACCAGTGGCCATGGTAAGTGTGCATAGGAAAGAGAATAAAGTCAGTTATGGTTTGACTATGTCCCCCAAAATTCATGTGTTCAGTCACTGTAATGGGATTAAGAAGGTGAAAACTTAATCTGATTATGGTGTAGAAAGGTGAGGGATTTGGGAGATTAGTGACTGGGTGGTTAGGGTGAGCAGAGCCACATGGTTGAGTTCTGGTATGTATATAGAGAGAGGAAATGGGGGCCAGCAGGTGGTGTGGTGATTAGGGCTCTGGACTCCCATATGGCTAATTGCAGTTTGAGTCTTAGACCTGGTGGCTTGAAAATTACACCAGGCATGCGTGCGTGCATCCACAAAATCTCAGGAGGAAACTGGAGTAGGGATTGAAGCATGTCCATGCCCCCGGTGAGTATTTTCTCACTTTCCCTCTCACTGTCTCTGTCTCTCCAGTGAGCATAGCACTCTATGCAAAAAGCTGGGGGGAAAAAAAAGAGATGAATCGAGGCAGGCAGAAGTCACATAAATACGAACCACACTCTGCTCTGCTCAAGACCCAGCCCTCTGCCATGTTGTAGTCTCACCAGAAGTTGGACCCTGGACCTCCCAAGTGTGAGCTGAATAAACCTGGATTTCTTGATAGAATCATCCAGTATCAGGTGTTTTGTTAGCAACATGATAACAAACTACTTCATTCAGCTTTCCTGACTCATACCCTTGTCTTCCTCCCTTCCTGTAATCCTGGGCCTTCCCATCTCTCTTCCTTCTCAATCAACATTTATCTATTTGTGTAAGTCCTGGGCCTGGACTTCTTTATTATTTTGCTCATATTTTGTGTATGCATGTCCAAAGTCCCAACAGGATAGAGGGGTGGAGAAGAGGGGATTGTGGCATGACCATGATTGATTTGGGGGAAGTGTGCTTTCTGCCTCTCCTTCTCGCCCTCTCTTCTCTCTCTGGTAAGTGCACGTGCCTTCTGGCAAAATTAAAAATAATAAAATAAGTCTATGATCTTAGCTGCTAAGACAATGGTGCTCAGAAGTTGAGCCCGAAGGAGGGGAAGGGACCTGGGTTCAGTTCCCAGCTCAGCCTAAAGCAGGCAGGGCAGTGGTACAAGCCTGTGGTCCTTTCTGGCTAGGGGGTGCTGGGGCAGGAGAATTTCCAAATAGCAAGACTCTGTCAAAATCTCTCTCTCTCTGGGGCCAGTGGATAGTGTAATGGTTACATCACTGGACTCCCACCTATTTGATTATGGTTCGAGTCCCAGACCTTGCAGCTTAAAACTCACACTGGGAGCTTGTGCAAGTGTGCCCAAAAGCCCAAGAGGAGAATGGAGGAGGGCTTTGTGGTGTGGCCATCCTCCCTGGCAGGTGATTTCTCACTTTCTGTCTTTTTGTCTCTCCAGTGAGCATGTTTATCGCCCTTAAAAAAAAAAGTCTCATAAATAGATAAACCTTAAAAATAGTAATTAAAAAATAAATAGGGGCCAGTGAGTAGCATGGTGGTTAAGGTGCTGGCCACGTGGCTGACTATGGTTCAAGTCCCAGACTGGTGACTTGGTTTCTCATTCTCCCTCTCTCTTTCTCTCTTTCTTTCTCTGACAAAACTCATGTGAAATAATAATAATAAAATGATTCTTTAAATCAATAAATAAACAAACCTATGATCACAAACATAACAAATCCCAATAGAGGGACATTTTACAAAATACCTGACCAAGGGACCAGCAGGTAGCGTGGTGCTTAAGGTGCTGGACACTCCTACATGGCTGACCATAGTTCGAGTCCCAGACTTGGTGGCTTGCTTTCTCACGTTCTCTGTGTGTGTGTGTTTCTCTCTCTGGTCAAATTTAAATAAATGAATGAGTAAATAAAATAAAATAATTCTTTTAAAAAATTAAAAAAACAATACCTGACCAAACTGCTCGAAACTGTCAAGGTCATCGAAAACAAAGAAAGTCTGAGAAACTATGACAACCAAGAAGAGACTAAGAAGACATGGTGACTAAATGTAATATGGTATCCTGGATGAGCTCCCAGAAAAGTAAAAGGACACAGGGCAAAAACTAGAAATTTGAATAAAGTATGGCATTTAGTTAATGATCATGTATCAAGATTGGTTCATTAATCATAACATACCATACCAATATAAGATGTCTATAGAAGGAAGAACTAGGTATAAATCTAAAATATTTCTAAAAAATAAAATGTATTTAAAAACAAACTATGACCAAATCCTGAACTTCAGAGAGGTTGTAAATAAAAAGTCAATACTTGGAGTATTTTTGAGTTGAGTGTGTTATAAAACTGGATTATTGGAAAAGTCATGGTGTATTTTTTTATAGAAAAAACATAGAAAAATATCTCATGACTTTTCCAGCAACCCAGTATGTTGTATTGAAGAGATCACTACCATAAAACCCTGAAAAGCTGGAGTATAATCTTGGCCCTCGTAACTGTAAACTCCCTTTTAAAAAGTTTATTTATTTTGGCGCCAGCAGTTGGCATGGTGGTTGGGGTGCTGGACTCCCATGTGGCCAACCATAGTTTGAGTCCTGGTCCTCGTGGCTTGCTTTCTCACTTTCTCTCTCATATACCCTACAGCAAAATAAAAAAATAATAATAAAATATAGGCCAAGCTAGTGGCATGGTGGTTAAAGGTGCTGGACTCCCACATGGCCGACCATGGTTCAAGTCCCTGGGTCTGGTGAGTTGCTTTCTCATTTTCCCTCTCTCTCTTTCTCTATTTCTATCTGATCAAAACTGGAAAATAAGAAGAAGAAACAAAGTTAAATAAAATAATTATTTTAAAAAATAATAAGTTCAGGGACCAGGAGTTAGTGCAATGGCTATGTCGCTGGACTCCCATGTTGTCGACCATTACTCCATCTGCTGGTCCCGAAGTCTTTATATTTTGCTACCCCCTTTTCCCAGTTCCTAAACATGGACATTCCCAAGGCTAAGTGCTTGTGTCTCTTTTCTACTCTGGCCACTTTTCCTGTAGCTGATCTTACTTGGCTCCTTGACTTTATATACTTTGGTAACTCTGATTTTTTTCCCCCCACATTCCACATTCAACCCAAATCTGCTAAGTTCTATCTTCATGAAATAGCCAGACTCTTTCCACTCCTGATCATTTCTACAACTTCCACCCAAAACTCCACCATTTCTGCCCTGGACCAAACAGCAGCCCCCTAACTTAGGGCCCCTGCTTCTACTTTAGCCACCTTTGTCTTGTTCTTTTCCCCTTTCTTTCTTTTTCTCCAAAATACATCAAAATATTTATTCATATCCCCACCGTGTTAAATCTATATTGTCTAAAGGCAGTTATTCAGTCCTCCTCAGACTCCTGGAAAATTTAAAAAATCTAAGCAATTCTTATGAAGATCGAATTTCAAAATCCTTAAAAACATCCTTAAATCACCTTTGTGCTCCTAGGTGGTATTCAGGTAGTAGCAGTCTATGCTTCCACCTGTCAAGTTGGTGATCCTCATTAAATCTGGGCGCAGTTCTAGCCCGCACACAGTTCTAATAACTACATCTTAAATGGCTCTTTGGTTCTACACTGGCTTATTCTGATCTGCCCGACCTAATGGCAGGCTGGAAGACCTTGTCGCACCACACTAGAAAAACCCCTGCTTATACTGAAAACGCCTAGGCCTAGTAAGGACGATCAATAGAAACAAACCCAGTAAACAACAGCCCCCACTTCCGGGCAGGAGGCGCAGGGTCAAGCTCTCCCGAGGTCTGTGGGGAATGGCTGAGGCCAGGCAGCCATCCATCCTTCTTTACCAACTCACTGCCTGGCCGCCTTAGCCCTGCCTGGCTTCCTCCCCAGGCTCAGAGAGGTTGAGCTTCATCCCGGTGCCCCGGGGCGTGGGAGCCCACGCAGCTGCAGACTCCAATCCACATTCATCGCTGCGCACAGAAGGAGCGGCATTGCAGAGCTGCAAGAGATCTAGTTCTTTCGCCAAATCAGAATGATTTTCTCTTTCCTTTACCATTTCTTTCTTTCTTTAACTTTTTTTGTTGTTTGTTTGTTTGTTTAGGAGAGAGACAGGCACTCTCTGCAGGGCCTTTCTGCCACCATTCACCTCCTCTCAGGAGAGAGAGAGAGAGTCAGAGAGAGGGAAAGTGAAACACACCCAACCCCGCCAGGGTTTGGCCATGCTGCAATTCTTTCTCCTTCATTCTCCTCTCAGGATTTTGGACACACACACACACACACACACAAACACACACACGTGCCTAGCATGATTTTCAAGCTACCCATCCAGGATGTGAACTGTGGTCAGCCACGTAGGAGTCCAGCACTTTAACCACTACACTTCCTACTGACCCCAGTCTTCATAATTTTTATTATCCCACAAATTTTGGATGTAATATTTTCATTATGGCTTATTTTTAAGCATTTAAATTCCATCATGGTTTGTTCTTTGACCCAGAGTTATCTGGAAGATTGTGTTTTATTTTGTTCTGCTATAGGATGCATGTGCTCTCCAGAGAAAGACAGAAAGTGAGAAATCATCCCTCGGGGGGAACCAGCAGTAAGCATAATTGCTATGTCGCTGGACTCCCACGTAGTTGACCGTGGTTCGCATCCCGGACCCGGTGGCTTAAAACTCACGCCGGGCGCGTGTGCGTGCGTGCCCAAGATACCGAAAGGAGAATGGAGGAGAAGGGCGTGTGCGGTGACCATTCCCCCTGGGGGCTGATTTCTCGCTTTCTGTCTCTATGTCTCTCTCTGTCTGTCACACGTGCCCTATAGCAAAAACCTCTCAAAAAAAAAAAATCATCCCTCAGGGGAGATGACCATGCCACCATCTCTTCTCTTCCATTCTCTTCTCAGGATGTTGGGCATGCATACATACACACCTGACCTAATTGTCAAGTTACTGGGTCCAGGACTTGATCTCCGAAGCCAAGCCAGGTCACAGGCTGGCCTGTTACCAATTTTTATAAATGTTCTAAGTATACTTAAGAAGAATGTGTAATCAAAATATTAAGTTTTGGGTGCACGGTTCTATATATGCTCACTAGATCAAGTTTGTTAATTGTTTTGTCAAAAAAAAAAAAAAAAGAGGAGGCCAGTCAGTAGCATGGTGGTTAATGCAGCTGCATCCCACATGGCCAGCTGTGTAGTTTGAGTCTTAGACCCTGCAGCTTGAGAAGCTGTGGGTCATGTGTAATAAAATCCCAAAAGGATAATAGAGTGATTTTTCACTTTCCCTCCCTCTGTCTTTGTCTGTACCTTTGAGAGAGAGAGTTTTGCTATAGGGCATGTGTGCTTGCCAAAGAGACACAGAGAGACAGAGAGTGAGAACTCACCCTCCCAGGGAGGATGGCCATGCTGCAATCTCATCTCCTCCATTCTTCCCTCGGGATTCTGGGCATTCATGCACATGTGCCCAGTGTGTTTCAAGCCACCGAGTCCAGGACTTGAACTACAGTCGACCACGTAGGGGTTTAGCAACGTAACCATTATGCCATCTGCTGGTCCCCCATAGCACATTTTAAAAAATTGGCCTTCACAGGGATCAGCAGGTGGTGGTTAAGGGTGCTGGACTCCTACATGGGCAACTGCGGTTCAAGTCCCGGACCTGGTGGCTTGCTTTCTCACTTTCTCTCTCTCTCTCTTTCTGGTCAAATTAAAACCACGTAGGGGTTTAGCAACGTAACCATTATGCCATCTGCTGGTCCCCCATAGCACATTTTAAAAAATTGGCCTTCACAGGGATCAGCAGGTGGTGGTTAAGGGTGCTGGACTCCTACATGGGCAACTGCGGTTCAAGTCCCGGACCTGGTGGCTTGCTTTCTCACTTTCTCTCTCTCTCTCTTTCTGGTCAAATTAAAATAAATAAATTAATAAATGAAGTTAAATAATTTTTTTTAATTGGCCATTACAACAATCCAGAAGAGATGATGGCAGGTTGTGAGCAGGGAAGATGGAGAGAGGCAGAGGGGTGCCAGATGTATTTGGGAGACAAAAGGGTTATTAATGGTGTTGGATTGGGGGCTGGGAAGAAAGCCAAGGAGAAAGAGGTACCGATGAGACCAGCAATTAGCAATGGCTAAGTGGCTGGACTCCCACGTAGTCGACCGCGGACCCGGTGGCTTAAAACTCAGGCCAGGCGCATGTACGTGCGTGCCCAAGATCCCCAGAGGAGAACGGAGGAGAAGGGATTGCAGGGTGGCATCCCCGCCGGGAGGGGGGGGTGATTTCTCGCTTTCTGTCTCTCTGTCTCTCTGTCTCTCTCTGTCTGGCGAGCGCAAGCGCCCTATAGCGAAAACCTCAAAAAAAAAAAAAAAAAAAGGGTACCGAGGATGACTTTCTTGGTTTCAGGCTTAGGCAACTCGGTAGATAACGGAACTATGCAATTGCGATAGGGAATCCTGGGAAAGATTAGTACATCTCTGTGTTTTCCCCAAGAATGTGGGAAAACGTTTGCTTCTATGAGGGATAAGAAGCAGCTAGCAATATTCGGACTTGGGGAAGGGACTCAGCAGTTGCTCTGCTTAGCGTTCTGAATGTATTTGCATTACACTTCCCATGGTGTGTTCACATGACAAGGTTTGCACTCGCCGAACTGCGAGCTCAGAGAGCAAGGACCGGGTCCTCTCAGCGTCTTAAGGACTTTGCCCCCTCCTAGTCCCGGCTCTCCGCACCCACAGTCTCTCCCACCCCTGTCTCTCCAGCCCATTTCTTCCTAGCTACGCCCCGAGAAAAATTTCAGCCAGTCGGCTTCTCTGCACCAGCCTCGCCCTAAAAACAACCCCTTCACCCCTTGAGTGACTAAAGTGATTGATGGCTCTCTTCTCCAATCATTTTGCAGAGTGGCCACATAATTACCAATTAGGCGGTAGCAGAGGCGGGTGCCAAAGCAAGGAGCGGGGTGACCAGGAAATGAGAGCAGACAGAGGGTGATTTAAGCCCTGCTGGTGTTGGGAAGGCGAAGGGGGATCAGGATTCCCTAAACTCCTCCTTTCCCCATTACCAAGCCGCGGTACCCTTCGCAACCGGGAGCCAGGATCTCCATTTGAACTTTCTTTTGGAAGGAAGGGGCGTGTCTCCTTCTTGAAGCGTCGAGACTCTTGCACTTCCTCTCTTCTCCTTGGCCTTCTCTTCTCCCGCGGTAAGGTCCTCCCCGGGGGTGAGGGCGGTGAAGTTTTCGAGGACTCTGCCAGGCTCCCCCAGCTGTGGCCAGAGGTGGGAAGGTGGAGGGGCCCTGGAGCTAGACTCCTTAGGGAACTGGGGAGAAAGTAGGTGTGCGGGGAGGCGAGGGGACGAGTGGAAAGCATCCTTCGGGGAGGTCGTGGTAGTTCTTGAAGTGGGCGGGAGTCCTTAGGCTCTGAATCCCTTCCACCTCGGGCTGTCAACTTTCTGCCTCATTTCTTTCTCCTTAGGCTGAGGGAAACACCTGAGCATGTGGCATCCCAACGCTGGTAGGTGTTTGGGGGGCTCTCTTTTCCCATCTCTCACCCTTTTTCAGTTGGGCTCCATAATGGGAAGTTTCTAGGTTCCCCGCCCGCCGACCTGGTCACTACCTGGCAAAAGCTAAGTCCTTGGACCAGAGTGACAAATGCTTTGGCCTCTCCTTAGAGTTCACTGTCCCCCTCCTCCCCGGCGCGTCCGGACAGTCCCCATTTTTCCGCCAACTCAGGTTTGTTTACCCTACCGTCCATTCTCTTTCCTTTTCCCTTTAAGTATCAGATAAGAAAACAAGTCTCTTTCTTTTTGTTGTTAGGGGATCACTGGGCAATTCTAATCTTGATTTATTCTCTGCTTCTTCCACCAGGGCAGCCAGGGCCAAATCCATATCCCCCCAACGTTGGGTACCCTGGAGGTTCCAATCCTGCCCACCCGCCGCCTGTCAATCCAGCATGTCCTCCATGCCCCTTTCCCACTCCCCCAGGAGTTCCCCAGGGGAATCCAGCTTTCCCCCCATGTGGGCCACCTCACCCTGTGCCACAGCCAGGGTATCCAGGTTGCCAGCCCTCAGGTCCTTACCCGCCTCCATACCCACCACCTGCCCCTGGCATGCCTCCTGTGAATCCCTTGCCCCCTGGCATGGTGGGACCAGGAATAGTGCTGGACAAGAAGATGCGGAAGAAAATGAAGAAAGCTCATAAAAAGGGGCACAAACACCACAAGCACGGCAAGGTCAGTGCCCTCTGAAGCCTGGCTAAGGGGAGGGTGCCCTCTCAGAGGGAGCAGGCAGGCCAGGGCTGGGTGAGGGTGAGTCAGAGTGTGTGAACGTGGAGGGTGTCACTCTGGTAAATGGGGTTTCCTCTCCGTAAAGGATTCCTGCT